CCCTTTTTTTAAAAAAACGGGCGGAATCCTTCGCAAAGGCCCAGGCACTGAAATGGGCCAGGGAGGGGGTAAATAAGAAAAACTAAATAGAGAGGGAAAGAAACGGGGAAGCCCAACGAGGCAGGAGAACCGCCGCCCTGGAAGATGCAGCCGCCCACGGAAAAAGCACAGCCACCCGGGAGGGGTTGGCCTCGATTCAGGCGTTTGAGCCCCCCCCCCATCCCATAATAAGAAAAACTAAATAGAGAGGGAAAGAAACGGGGAAACGAAACGAGGCAGGAGAACCGCCGCCCTGGAAGATGCAGCCGCCCACCGAAAAAGCCCAGCAACCCGGGAGGGGTTGGCCTCGATCCAGGCGTTTGAGCCCCCCCATCCCAGGCCCTTCTCTCTTCTCCCATCGAAGCTGGGCTCTCCCGGGAGTCCTTCCCGCTGGGGATCCTAGGGCCAAGCCCCGAGGAGGAGGAAGAGGAGGAGGAGGAAGCAGGCCGGGGGGTCATCCGGCCCTTCCCAACCGGGAAAAGCGGAGCCTCCCAGCGCAAAGAGGCGCGGCTCGCGAAGGTTCTCCCGGGCACGGACGATTCCGGTTCCCTTTCGGCAACGACGCCCCTTGCTCCCGACCGTCTTTCTAGGCCCACGGAGGACATAAGAGAAAACCTTTTACAAATAATTGCGCCTTGAAAAAGAGGATCTGTATTTTTCCCTCTCTTCCTGCCTCGCCTCCCCCCCCGGCAGCGAGGAGCCCCTCCCTCGTTCAGATCTCTTTGGGTTTTTCTCTGTTTTCAAGGGGGGGGTTAACCTGCAGTCTTGGTGGTGGGTGGGATCCTGAGTCAACTCGACAAGCAGGAGAGGATTCCCCCGCTGAAAGCGGGAGGAGGGCTAGGATTTCGGAAAATCCACTCTTCCACCCCCTCTGCCAGGCTTCTCGCGAGGTGGTGGGCTTTGTAGTCCGAAACTTAGGAAGGGCACCAGCTGGGAAGCCTGCTCCGGGCAGGGGAGGTCGACCGCCCAGAGAAACCCTGCGAGAAAAGGCGAGTCACCTCCCAGTTTGGAGGCATCTCGATTTCCGCAGCCTCGGGTTGAAACCTGCCCAAGGAGCCAGACTCCCCTTGCAGTATAAATAAATAAATAAATAAATAAAACTCCCACCCGGAGCCTTCTGGGGCTTGAAAACCTGTCCTGGTCTCCTTATACTTTCCTGGAGGGCACCTGCAGGAGGAAGAAGCTCCCTATTCCATCATCACCATCATCATCATCCAAAAACACCAGGCACAGTCAATCAAAATTATAAAAATATTGGCTGGTATTATATACCAGATACAAGTTCTAACCAAAAACATAAGTATCTGTTAAATATTGGCACAGTATGTATACTGTTCCTAATATTGCTGTTTTTATAGCTCTGATGCAGATATTCCTCAGATCTGCAACTGCTTATATTGCTGTGTAAAATTTCTTGATATTGTTCCCAAGACCCCAATGACTATGGGGACTACTGAAGTATGTTTCATCCACAAGTGAGTTGTATCATCATCATCCACAGTCAATCAAAATTATAAAGGCATTGAGTACTGTAGTATCTTATAACACATACAAGTTTTACCTAAGTATCTGTTGAATATCGGCGCAGTATCTATGCTGTTCCTCATATTAAGGTTTTTTGTAGCTCAAGCCGAGGACTACCCTGGGGTTAAGTCTGAAACCACACACACACACAGGTAAGTCCGAAACCCCCCCCCCCCACACACACACACACACACCAAAGCTTTCTGCAAACGGCGTGTGTATTCGTCTTAAGAAGCCAACCTGGCCCGAACAACCGCGGTGAAACTTTGAGGTTCTCATATACTGTATAATTTTATGAACTACCCATAAGACGAATTATCATGGGAAGCGAGCTGTCTGTCCGATTTAAAACAAACAAAAAAAACCAAAGTGGTCTAATGAAGGTCTTGCCTTTCGAGAACCAACGAACCAACCCCCCCAAGTCCACACCCCCCCCCCCGCGCAACGCCCCAGGAAACCGGCCGCAGGCTGGTTAGCAGCGCAGCCGGATCCTATAGGTACAGGATTCCTGGAGGGGGGGCGGGTGTCTCAGGCGGGGGTTATGTTCTTCACAACTACGCAGTCCGCCGTTGAAGAGATGAACCAGTAAGCGCGCGCACACACAGAGAGACGAGAGAGAGAGAGAGAGAGATTGTTTGGGAAACGTCCCCAGCCTTCCGAAGGCGACACGGAGCATCCTGTTGGACAGCCTAGGGCCCCACCCGGAGAAAGCCCCCAAGGGACACCCCAGTATCCCCCTCCCTCGCCTTTATCTTCTCACCTCCCAGCGTGTCTCGGAGGCGAGTCGGGTCCCGGGATTTCTCGGCGG